CTGGTTGTGGTGGCGAACCCAGATGTCATCACCAACGTCGACGTCAAACAACATACTGCCTCTGTGCGATACTACGGTTGCTTCAATCCAGTCTGGGAACCCCGTTCGATAATCACGAACAAAGACAGGTGTTCCGATGGAGAGTTTGCTGCGAGAAACTGGAGAAGTCTGCGCGGGCTGCGCACCGGTAGGGACGAGGGCATGAAACGTTGTACGCAGTTTTCGGCCCATCAACGCTTCGGCAGGAGAAACGTCACCAGGGGACGCCGGGTTCGGTGTCGTCCTGTAGGAAAACAGGAACGCCTGGACTATCTCGTCCGTGGTCCCCTCCCCACGAGCTTTCAAAAGGGCTCTCTTAAAAGTTTCGACAAAACGCTCCGCCTGACCGTTAGACTGAGGATGGTAGGGCGGGGAGCGAAGATGCTGGATGTTGTGCTGGCGGCAGAAATCCTCAAACGTCGACGAGATAAACTGAGAACCATTATCTGAAACCAGGACTTCTGGTAAGCCATGTTGGCTAAAGATGCGTCTTAGGAAGGCGATAGTGGAAGATGCGGTTGCTGGATTCAGCGGAGCAATCTCGGGCCATTTCGAGTAGGCGTCAACCAAGATTAGGTAGGAGACTCCGTTAAGTGGGCCAGCGAAGTCGATATGCACGCGTGACCAAGGCCTCTCCGGTTGTTGCCAGGGTATTGGAGGTTGACGAGGCGGCATCTTGGCAGCTTGCTGACATCGAGAACGGCGTCGAACCAGGTCGTCGATGTCGCCGTCGATACCCGGTCAGTAGGCAAAACTGCGAGCAATAGACTTCATTCGGCTAGCACCAGGATGAGCCGCATGGAACTGGCGTAGTACAGTGGGTCGGAGGGAAGATGGGATCACAACACGGTCTGCAAACATGAGGCAGGAGTCAACCACAGATAGCGATGCTCGGCGGAGGAAGAGCTGGCGAAGATCGCCAGCGAGAGCAGTGGTTGGCCAGCAGGTCTGCACGTAGGTGATGGCCTGGCGGAGGACAGGATCCTGTTCAGTAGCACGTCGGATGTCCGCGGCAGTGACAGGGATACCTCGTATGGCGTCTGATAGCTGACGGCGCACACCGTCCTCAATCGAAATAGCTGCAATCACGGTATCTTCCTCCGGTTCCTGCTGATTGCTGATGAGGCGAGAAAGGGTGTCAGCGTGACCAAAGTCTGTAGTACGACAGTAGCGAGTGTCGAAGTCGTAGCCAAGAAGGATGGTTGCCCATCGCTGAAGTCGGCTGGCTGAGTAGACGGGAATGCCCTTCTTCGAATCGAAGATTGACAGCAATGGTTTGTGATCCGTCAAGAACGTGAAGTGGCGACCGTACAACAGTTTGTGAAATTTCTTGACGGCAAACACGAGG